GTCCGCCTCTGAGTATCATATACATGCTTCATTTTCTGGCATCAATTTTTATTCAGAGTTCAATTTATCTTTTCGAGAATGAGACCCATCTTTTTTAAAATTACTAGTATTCTAACGCGTGCAAGGATCTTTTCTTGTCGATTCTAAAATGTTTTCAATGCAATAATCTTTTCTTTTAATTATTTTTTAAAAATGTAAGGTTTTACCACATATAAAAAAAATTAATCTAATTTAAACAAAAAAGAGTATTTATAAATTAGAAAAATGTCAAAAAATTATGTTAAACATAAATTCTCTGCAAATATCAGATATATGTTTCATTTTTTATCTGTCTATCATCAATTTTTAATCAGAGTTCAATGCGCGGTTATTGTTCTAGGAAGCAACGGTTTTAGAGGATAGGGGAGTGGGCAGGAAGTTTCGGACAGACTAGGCCTCTTTACCAATCAAACCAAATTTCCTGAATTGTTCAAGTGGACAGGGTAAGTGTAACTCTGATTTGGCCCAAAAGTTGGTGAAAATTTGGTTTGATGGGTTCTGACTTCCGACAATTTGACATTTTGACCACAAATACTCTGAATTTCATTTTAATTATTCTCTTTCAAACAATATGTAAAATTTCATTTTTTTTCCTGAAAAACAAATTATGATCTATCTATTTTATTTTATCAAATTATAATAAAAGTACATAAGCAAACAGCAAACTAAGGTTATCGACAACTTCAAATGGTACAGAAGACGATTACTTTAACACGGAGGACTATGATTTTTTTTCTCGGGCCTTCAGTACTTATGAAAATATTGTTTTCAATCGATTTATTGGCTGATATTTTAACAAAAATGTTAAGGGAATCCTAAACATTTGATACCAAATGCACACTAAAATTAATACAGACACACACAAATATTTAATGCTTGTGGGTGTACAGACATTAAATGTTCGGAGTATGTTTGTATTGACCCTGGTGTGCAATTAGTTCAAAACTTTGGGGTCCCCCTATCACTCTTCATCTTTTAAATGTTTGACTCTAGTGTACAGGGAAAAAATTTACTACCATTATCCCTCAGTATTTCTTTTGTTTTAAATTTTGACAATCAAAGATCATCAATAAAATATAATTGTACTAGATATTGCTATAAAAACAATTTTTTTATTTTATTTCATAAAATAATTTTCAAAATAGTATTTTTCTAATTAATATAACATATACTGAGTAACTTTTACTTAATTATAGGTCAAATGTGGAACCTGGTAGACTGCAAAAATTTGAAATCTGACAAATATTAAGGGACGAAGATAATACATTATACACAGCAACACAAATTTAATACCGATCAATAGATTCATTTTGAAGTATATTTAATTTAAATTTAGCACATTTTCTAATCATATATACTCATACTACTTTCCAACTTATTTGTCTACTTTTGACTTCTTATAGTTAAAGTTAATAAACTTTGATCATAAATTTTTTTTAAAAAATAGATATTGTTATAAGAATAACGGATCCATAAGAAGTCGTGAAAAGTAAAACAAGAAAATAAGTTCTGAAAATTTATGTGTGGTGTAATAGTACACATTGTCTTAAGTTTTAAAAATAAATTGTCAGTTTGATTAGAGGATATATATATATATATATATATATATATATATATATATATATATATATATATATATATATATATATATATACTCCCTCTCTCCAATAATGAGTGATTCTATGGTGGACCTAAGGTTCATATGAACCTTTTGATAAGAGTATTTTTTTTAAATTTTAAAAATGATTATTTCAACAGTTGAAAATACTTATGTAGTACTCCCATTTTGAACAAAATGTGTAAAATTACTTTATTTCCAAATTAGTACATCATAAAAAATGAAAAATACATTGCTCAAAATTTAATTAAAAGATCAAAATCAAATTAAAAATTCTACAAAATAAGATGCGATAAAAAAGATTATGCAAAAAAATATAAATTATCAAAAACCCATAATAATAATGGCAAAGTTCAAGGGAGGGAATATGTAGTATAATGGGAAACACGCATGGGCCGTGGCAATGCATATAAAAAACATGAAACGAGTAAAGCACCAGACAAAGCTAGTTAATTATGAATTGTGATGGCCGTTGGGTGTACATCTCCTTTTGTTCCCATAATTCTTTTATTTTACTTTGCTTTGCTTATAAGTTACTCCTTTCGTCATATTTGAATCTTTTCGTTATGATGTTTGATCAACTTTATTTTTAATTTAATTTATTTGATTGTAGATGTAAAACTTAAAATTATATATTAAAAAATTACATCAAAAAATCTATAAAATCAGAAGTGACAATGATTATATTATTTTATCAAATGAGTAGCCAAAATAAAAAGATAAAAGCATATAAAGTTTGATATTGTGAAGTAATGATATTGGAATCTCCCTCATCTTTTTATTTCAATCACATATCACTCTCTCGTTAGACTTCCAATTTTTATCTTTCTTTTAAATAGATTTTAAATTCTCAATTGTTTTTTTAATATTCCCTCTATGCATAAATCGTAATTTATATCGTACACCGTAATGGTTCATTTACGAGTAACTCAATGCTTATTTTCGAGCAAGTAAATACTCATTCTCATTTAACTAAATATAGATTTTTAAAAGTCAGCTATACTCGAAAATGAGTATTTAGTTATTCGAAAATGAGTAATTAAAAAATGAGTACTTAGTTACTCGACAATGAGTATACACGGGGATTGTACAAGAAATACCGTACACGTGGATGTATGGTATGGTATATGTACTCTCCATAAATTATCATCAATTTTACAATTTTGAAAATCTGTATATGGCATATTTTCAATTGATCATTCGATTAAGTACAGTAAATTAAACATGCTACCACTTTGCTTGCTCGTAGAATTATATATAGTTTTAAAGAAAGTTGTACTTTTTAAGTTTATAACAAAATTAATTAGTTTTTTAAAAGAAAGTTGTACTTTTTAAGTTTATACAGATTTTTAACAAAAATAATTGGTTTTTTTAAAGAAAAATTTTTGAATTCATGAATTTAAACTGTGTGCTAATTAATACTCGATAGAGAAAGCATTACTACGTACTAGGCAAAAAATTATGCATTAAAAGCTACCCCATCTTTTAAAAAGTTAGATTAATACATGGGCAATGCTACGTTCACAAACAGAAGGATCACAAACTTCACAAACTTACTATTTATGCTTTAAATTCTCATTTTAAAATTATTTTAGACTATTTAATTTTCTTTATCGAAGTTCAGAAATGGTAAGTTTGTGAAGTTTGTGAAGCTTGAGTTTGTGAACCAAGCATTTCCCTTAATACATTGTTCATGACACTACTAGAATAAGTTGAATTAGCTGCCAATGTTAGTGTAGAGCTTGCAGCCCTCGCAATTTTGTGTCCGCTAAATCGACACAAATAACTTAGTTTTTTTAATGTTAGTCATCGAGCAGCTTAGTGACGGCCTCGATACCGACGCAAGGTCGACGCAAAGCTTCCTTTTGTGGCGGCTTTTACCTTTTTGTGAGGGCTTTTGCCCCACACTAAATCGCCATATTCTAGTAGTGTGAGATTAAACTTTATTACGCAACACTCAATATCTTTTTTGTCTCTATTTTAATTTGTTACTTACAAAGTATTTGATTAAACAATATTATTATGTTACCTTGTATTTTTTAATTCATGATAGGGAGTGAGTGTCTTTTAATGAATGAACAAGAGGAGAGAGAGAGAGATTGCTTTATAAAGCAAACCCCAATATGTCACCTTGGTTAAGTATAAAGTACTCTTGTACGTCCTTTATTCTTTTTCTTTTAATGCTCCATCTCTCCCTCTCTCTGTCTCTCTCAATATACTCCGTAATTTGTTGCGCACATTTTTCTATTTGCTTAACTTTAACTTAATCCATCCTCTTTGTTTTCCTTTTTTTTTTGATTATTTGATACGTTAAGTTTATAGATATTCATCAACTTCATCTTGTGGATATTAAGTTAGTGTTTCTCCGTGCTTATAAGTAGTTTTTAACTTATAAATTAATTGTTGACATGCTTTTGTGTGCTTATAAGCTGTTTATAAGCAAGAAAAAAATAATTAGGTCTTAGCTACATATTTTAAGTCAGTTTTTTGTTTCTTTATTTTGACTAGATTATTTACAAAATTGTTCCTGATCTTTTTTAAGTACCTACAAATAATTTATCTATCATTTAAGTTATTTTATTTTCACTAAAGAATATTTGACTTATATGTAGTTTATAAGTTAAAAATTGCTTATCGACAATAAGCTAATAAGCATTAGCACAGAGAAACACCAGGCCACTTAAATATGGGCTCTTTTGCTCATAGAATTCTTAAGTAGCATTGGTACTTTTGCGTACAAAGAGTCATCGCATACTGATTGGTTAGTTCACCGTATTGATTGGCCAGCATCCCATTGATTATGTTGAATCTTCTCGTACTCAGCATTAGGTTCCTAGTCATCCTAGATCCTAGTAGATTCAAGTTCTCACATTTTTGCGTTTTCCTTTAGATGCCATATGAATTAGATGACATTATATGATTAGAGTGGACTAATTGAAGGACCAACTTAAAAAAAGGATAACCCCATTGCCGAAGGCCCTTTTAGACCCGGCCTGATAGTCATTCTGATGTGGTAAATTAGAGTTTGATCGCAGATTGGTGGCAAAGAGTAGAAACCGCACGTAGTACTTACAGAAGTCATATGTTTAGCATAGTTGTCTCCCAGTACAGATGTCATGAATCGAACTCAAGTCTTACCCCTTTGACACTCCTTACTTTTGGCATGCATTTGTGCATCATTGTCCCGTGGCGGAGGCTATCTGGGCTAAGTGACAATTGAATATCGTAGGCGTTTGTGTGTGTTGAATGCACTATAAGACTAGCTAGGGTATGTGCTTCTTCTTACACCAATTGGTTTTAGAAGAGTTGATAGTGTCTGAGGTCTTATAAATGGTATCGGAGCCAAGGTCATGAACTCGATTGCCAGCGAGAGTAATTGCTGAGGGGAAATTGTTGGCCATGTGTGCATCAATTGTCCCCTAGCAAAGGCTATGTGGGCCAAGTCACAATTGAATATCGTGGACGCTTGTGTGTGCTGAATGTACTACAAGGGTAGGGTATGCACTTCTTCCAACATGAATTGATTTTAGAAGAGTTGGTAGCGCTTGAAATCATACACTTACCTTTTCCAACTGCACAACGCCCACTGGTGAAGGGCCAACTTAAAGAATCTGGGCCTACTCACCCGAGCACAAAGAAAAGATTTTCGAGGGAGTATTAATTAGACTTAATGTTTGGTTCGCGTCGTGAAATTCGAAATGAAAGAAAGTTGTTTCCTTCTCTATTCTTATATTCATTCTTTTTTTTCTTTTTTCTCTTTAATCAAATAAGAAAAATAATTGTTTTCTCTATTTTTATCTCGTTATAATTTTCTGAATCAAACACACTAAAGTAGAATTAAATTGGCAACAAAGGGTTTATATAGGCCTTTAGACCACCGAGGTTAAGGCCTGTGTGCAAAAAGCTGTTGTGGACAAAGGTTTGTTATTCTATATACTTACTCGTATTTTTTATGATTTCAAAACTAACTTTTCAATTTTTATCATTGACATCCCAAAATTAACACAACATTTTTATTATCTATTTACCTAATCCATAATAAATGCTACTCCTTCCATCTTGAATATTTGTTCATTTTTTTTATTTTTTTAGTCAAAATTGACCCAAATTAAATAAAAATGATATTAGATATTGATACAAAAATAGTTTTATTAGATTTGTTATATGAAATATTTTCAAAATATTACTTTATCTAATTAAAGTACAATAAATATTTTATTTAATTATAGTTCAAAGATTAAATATTTTATTTAATTATAGTTCAAAGATTGAAAACAATTGACTGAAAAAAGCTAAAACTAGACATATACTCCGGGATAGAGGTAATATAAGGCCCCGTTTGACATCAGCTACAGAGATTAGCGTTAGCGTTTTGAAAAAGCTATCCGACGGTAATCTTTAGCGTTAGCGTTTTCAGAATTAATCTGCACCGTTAAAATATTATCCATAACGCTAACGCTAATCGAAAACGTTGTTACCAAACGAAGTCTAAGTCTACTTTTTTCTAACCATTTTTTTGCGATGTACCCCTTTGGTCCTCACATGCTATAGACACATTGCATTCTCTCACTCATTTCAATATCATTCCAAAAAATAAAATTTGAAGGTGAAAAACACTCTAAAATTTTTGCTCCCTACTAATTTGTGTGAAATATAAGTCCTCCCGGCACCAATTTAGCTAGGAGCATGTTACATGTGCCCCAAAATTTGTACCTCATTTGTACACCAAAAGTATGCACCAACATTTTTATGGTTTACACTGACACAAATTGTTAGTGGGTTAACAAAAATTTACACTAACACAAAGTGTTGGTACGTTAACAAAAATTAGCATTACACCAACACTAAATATGTGTAAATCCTTGCGATGTACAAAATGAGATTCAAATAAGATTTTCCATGTAGTTATTATATACGGAGTATAACAAAGAGTAAGTATGTATATATCCTCGTTGGTAATCTCAGGTGTACACGCTACAAATTGGGACGAAGATAATGTGCTTTTTGAAACCCACAATTTAATATCCCCATTTATACCTTTCCTGGTTTTTATCTTATTCAGCTCACTCTATTTATTTATCTAGTCGGGGCCTTGAGGGAGGAAGCTAAGAAAGAAGAACGTAACCAACCCCGGCCGGTGACATCTCCCGCCGGAGATGAACTTTCCGATCCCATTTCCCGATGAGGTGATTTTAATCTATTTCTTTATTTCAATTCTTAATTATTAGCTCTCAAATATTATATATCACTTGGTGCAGGATTCCCATCAAGCTAAACAGGGGACTCCGTTCGAATTTGGGCTTCTAGTCTTCATCTACGCCACAGTTCTGGGTCGGTGTTATAAATTCCACGAGTGTGTGCATTTTGATCAGAAATTAAGATTTGGGATTAATTAATAGTTTAATTTATACGGATTGGGACATATTTTAGGGGTGATGTTGATGGTGATAGCACTGATGGTGAAGCTGATGGGGTTCTGCGACGGCGCGGCGGCGGCGGAGGAGGAGGAGAGTAGCAGGTTGCTGTCGAAGGAGGCGGCGTGGATGGCGTACGGAGTGTTCGACGACGACGAAGAAGAAGAAGCAGACGTGGAGTCGGCGGCGCCGCCCAGCCGGGGCAGTTCGAGTGAGGATTTGTTCGTCGGAAAAGTGTGCGCCATATGCTACGACAAGAGACGGCGTTGGCTTTTCTTCCCGTGTGGTCACTGCGCCACCTGCTCTTCATGTACCAAAAGGTAACGTACCCTTGCCTGTAAATTTGTATGCACATTTAAGGGCTGTTTGACAACTTCTGAATGGGTAAGTGCTGAACCAGTAAGATGTCTAAACCATTAAATGCTGAACCAGTAAGAGGTCTGAACCATTAAGAGCTAGTATATTGCTTAACTATTCAGAGGCAAATGTCTGATCAATTCAGATTAGAGTTCTTAACCATTCAGACTCTGTATAATACTTAACCATTCAGAGGCAAATCTTTTAACCATTCAGACATCTGAACCATTAAGAGGCTGAAACAAACAGTCTGAACCATTAAGTGCTGAACCATTCAGACATCTGAACCATTAAGAGGCTGAAACAAACAGCCTCTTAATATACTCCCTTCATTCGATTTGATTACAAATTACGGATTATGGTAACGTGAAATTTTTTACTTTTTAAAATCATTTTATTTACAAATTGGTATATCAATATGATATAAAAATTACATATTAAAAAATTACGTCAAAACTTCTACAAAACAAGAGATGACAAGAATATTTTATTTTATCAAATACTTAATGAAATCGTATAAACAAAGAGAGAAAAAATTGTAATCTATTTAGGGACGAAAGAAGTAATTGTTTGTGATTTTTTGTCTTCACAAACAATTATACTCTCTCCGTCCCTAAATAAATTTCACCTTTTGTTTTTTCTTTGTTCCCAAATAAACTTCTATTTTTCCTTAAAAAACTCAGTTACCCCTTACTTTTTCATACCATACCTATCACATAATATCTTTTTACTAATAATCTACATATCACATCTTACTTTTACACATCACATTAAGGGTATCTTTGGAAAGTCAACACAAAAATATCTCTCCCTTAAATCCTTAAAAAATCAAAAAGAGAAGTTTATTTAGAGACGGAGGGAGTATTTCATATCTATAAATTTATAGACAGTTGTGGGAATCATTTAGTAAAAAGTGTTTTTGATTAACATTAATATTTTTAGATAAAATTTTAATTGTACAAATCAACTTTGAAAATGTTGGAGCCGGAGTATTATCTTTTTAAGTTTTAAAAGTCATAAGTCTTTATTTAGGTAACATATCTTTATCAGTTTTATTTGTTTTCTCGGAAAATGCAATTTTCGCTCGGTAACCAATCGCGGTGGTTGGGCATCTATTTGGTTGAACCGGTTAAAAGTTGTGTCATCCATATTTAAAACTTTCTTAAAGTTGAACAAAATACTGCGTCATCAAATTAATTTCATCTTCTCAAGCATAAGAAAAGAAAGTGCATGACCAATATTTGTTTTGAAAAAAAAAAAGAAAGTACTTAATTTTATTTTATCTAACATTATTATTGTTTGATTTTTACGTTTTTAATTATTTTATCTAACCAACATTATTTTATGTCTAGATATGCGTTTCATTATTAATTATTTTATATTTCAATAAAAAATCATCTTTGGTCAGACGTCAGAGTATGAATGTCTAGGTTGCGTTTGGCTTTGTTGAAAGATGCTCTTTTTATTTATTTACGGAGTATTTATTTTTTGAACCCATGCTGGGAGTGTTATTATTGTTCTTCCTTACATTTTAAAGCCAATATTTTATATTGCGTACAATATTTAATTAAAACCCAGATTGCGTCCTATCTATTTAGAACATGTTTTTTAAGCTGGGGAAAACGGTTAAATATTGGAAAAAACTAGAAAAAATAAAAAAATTTGAAAAAAAAAAATGAAAACAATTGGAAAAGAGCGAAGATTATGAGGGGTAGTAATTTTAACAGGGAGTATTTATTAATTATTTAATAAATGTGGTGCAGGATTATGGAAGGAAAAGCAAAGACTTGCCCCTTTTGCCGGGGATTTATCCACAATGTTTCAAGATTTCTAAACCGCCGGTGAAATTAGGCGGGGCAAAGGGCTCCTCTCTATTTCATGATGATTTCCTAAATCCTAAGGAATAATGTGAAATTGATAATTAACATTCATTTTTAGGTCTGGAATGTGATCATGTTTTCTTGTTATGACTAGATAGAGAGGGACCTTTCTGTAAATAATTTCATTCTATGCCTCCCTTTTTAGGTTCTAATCTACTCGTCTTTCAATAGTAGATATGGGGTACTAGCTAGCCCTCACCTTAAAAGAGGTATTCAAAATGATTCTCTCAAAGTTACTGAAAACCTTTCTTTTTTTTCATCCGTCCCAAAAAACATTTTTTATTTCTATTAAAAAGTCACTTTTACTCCTTACTTTTTCATATCCTACATATCACATCATATCCTTTTAATAATAATCTATCCATCAAATAATACTTTTACCCATCACATCAAATGACATTTTTGGAAATTCAATACCAAAATATACTCACTTTAAATCCCTCTTCAAAATCAAAACTCCCATGTTTTCCGAGAAGGAGGGAGTATTTTTTTCTTTTGGGTGAAAAAATGACTTTAGTGAATCAAAAACGGAATAACAAAATCTATGAGCATTGAACAATAACATTTGTATCTCTACTAACAAAAGAGAGAGAGAGAGAGAGAGCTGCAAGAAGAGCTAGCCAATAAGGCTCTACAATGTGGTATTCACCCTCCCCACCATCCTATTTTTCAATTCAGTCTCCCATCAGCTTTCTATATTTTACTTCGATTACATCCATTTTACTATTATTAGGGGGGTGGAGTTGTGGATCCTCATTGCATCCTTTTTTTTATTTTTATTTTTAAATATTACATTTAAAATATTTAATTTAATTTTTAAAATTAAACTAAAAAAATTAGAAACTAAAAAATATATAATTAAAACATAAATTTGGATCTAACGTTAAAAAACTAAGAAGAGTTAGATCCGGATCTGGAATAAAAAAGATGGTCTGCGAGATACAAGAAGAAGGTCTGTGAAGAAGGAGAAAAGGGAAAAAAAATAAAATCCGGTCAGCATCTTTGGTATATGACTTGGATGCCGACTCCCAATCGGGGGGTGGGAGGTGGAGGCAGTATTCCCCGTCGGGACCGGCGTCCACCTCAAGGCTCAGACACCTAAGGCTTTCATCACCCCAAACCGTTCAACCTAAGGCTTTACAATCCCTCACTAAAGTACTAAAATAAGACGAAAACAAAGCACACTCACTAGGAAATCGCCTCAATCAGCCTCTACCAACCAACAAAGATCTTAGATCTCCGCATTTGGAATCCCTAGTGTCTTGATCACTGCAATTAACGGACCCCCGAGCGCAATCCCCTCAGAAGCAACATGAAAAGAACCCATAGGTGAAAACACAACACACCCGAAAGCCCCCTTGTCACCTAAGAGAATGCCGCATCCCCCACAAAGCATCTAAAAGACCGGGTTGAAGACGCACCTCCAAAGTAGAAAATGTCGCAATCGGCAAAAAGGCCCTCTCACGTCATTCATTACACTATCACACATACATACTTAAAAACTACATAAAAAATTCTTCAAAATAAAAAGTTTCAAGATTTTTTTATTTTATCAAATAACCAATGAAAACGTACAAATAAACAAAACGAGTTTTATATTTAATTCATGATATAATACTCCATATATTTTAGTTCATCTGCTCAAGCATCACATTCCTTTTCTTGAGAACTGAGCCATGCAGTTTTACGAAATGCTCTGTCATCTGTGTGTTTTTTGTACTTTTAGGTGGATTAGGAGCTTCAATACATCTGAACCATGGGTTGTCAATTCCAAATTTAAACCACAATTTTATTGTGGCCCAGACCAGACCAGCCCAGCCCAGACCAGCCAGAGTAACAACCACGAGCCATATCAGATCTCCAATCATATCTCAGCATTATATGTTGAAGCAAGAAAAAGATACAGCTACATATTAGGGTCCATGACCGCCTCCCTGGACTCTCTCACCTCCGATTCCAGCTCCTCTTCATCTTCCCCACTTTTTCACCCACCACTGTTTTTGAAAATTTATCTCATCATACTAATTGTTACCAAACACACCACTTGCATTCACTGAATCTTGCAACAAAAGAAAAATCCCTCCCCAAGTTTCTAACAAAATTGGAAACTCCATTGAGATTCAAACAACACAGTAAAAAAAAATGATAATACAGATAGACAGTAGTCACCTTTGATCTTTCCACAAGAGTGTGTATATACAGCTTCTGAAGTTGACTGTTTTTTCAAGGAGATATGGCGGGCGAATCCTCGGCTTGTTCCGAGTTCAAACGGTATATATCAACTGGAGTTGCTGTGCAGCTGTTGTTATTATAATCGCGACCCTCCGTTGCTTTGCCATTTTGAGAGCTTTGAGAATGATCCAAATATACGACTACGACTGTTATATCATCGTGATAGCAGCGTCTTGTTCCCTTCTCTATTCTTCTAATGTCTTGACTCTTCATCTCCCTCTTCTTTGCAGCCTCACTCACGGCCGCTCTTGCTAATCTTTTTGCTATTCCCTGCGACAAATTGCACGAGAAAATGTGAAATGTTACATAATGGCGTTAGTGTATAAAAACATATCTTGGGACTACAACCACAAGCTTAAACTTTGGGTTGAAATGGTTCGTTGACATGGTATAAAAATGCTTACGCGTCTTGGATTTTTAAGGACGATTTCCACTGCCTCTTGATCGGATATCTGTTCCCAAAGACCGTCCGAAGCAAAAATCAGAAACAAGTCTTCTGGTCTTAGCTTTCGCGTCACTATGGAGGGCTCGGCTGACATTACCGCTCTTCTTAAAGGAATCGGACATCCGTATTGTACCAAGAGAGGGTCTCGGCTCATCTCGGGCTTCTTCAGGTACATGTCTCCGATTGATCTAGAAACCTAGTGCAACAAATTGCCAAATGTGTGTGAAATTCAAGATTTCGTCATAGGCAATCAGTACCACAACAATAAACCCAGGCCAGTAAAATCCCACACAAATGTAGAGAGTCTCGGGATATTGTGTGTACGCAGACCTTACCTGAATTATTCCCTTGATTCGCCAAACGCCGTGAGTGTTGACCACAATGTGTTTATCATCAGGATGGAGTGCCACAACCTCCTTCCTCACCTCCTCAACTCCAACATTATGTTCGGTGGATACCCGTTGTGCCACCACGCCGTGTGCTGCTCTCCACCCAAGCACTGCCCTCGAATCCCCAATGTTTGCCACATAAAGAACGCCGTTTGATATTGCCCCAACAAGACAACATGATCCTACGCTAACCATCTTAGGTTGGCGTAGCCACGAGCGCCTGACCATGTGCATGAAATCTTCCTCAATTGCATTCAAAGCTCTCCTTAACACCTCCTCCGACATGCCTCCTTGCTCCCGTGAATACTCTACACGCAATAAAAAAACTCATTGAAATATACTCCTTAAATACAAGAGAACATTGGAAAGTGATCCAAAAATCATTTCCTTGATTTTTCTTTGGAAATATATGAAATAATAAATTAGATGCCCCCTAACGTATATACCTCAAAAAAGCAAATTCTCTAACACAATTTTAGTTCTTGACAAAAAATCAACTAAAACCATAAATAAAACCAATATACAGAGTATATACTCAAGGATTCTACAAAAGAATATGACAGAATTTAGGAATGGGAAGAAGTCATTCAATTTTTAAAAAAAATAAACTGTATCAAATCACACTAAAAGAATTAAAAGAATGAATCTATAGGATTAATTAGTTCAACTCATGACCTTATTAATCATTATCATATATTCTCTAATTTTCTAATATGGGATTGCATCTAAAAAGTAAAGAATTCAGCAAATTTCTAGACATTTCCGCAAGTTTTTTCAAAAATTCTACAGATCTCGACATTATTCGACATTCTTAAGAAGAAAACAAACAATTACAGTAAACTATAAGGAAATATTGGATGTTGGATTGAAAACAAGGCAAGGGTTTGAGGGAAGTACAGTACTTTGGATGTGACGGAAGAGGTGGTTCGAAATGAAGCGAGAAGCTTCAGGGCCGCCGTGGCCGTCGTAAACGCCGATATAGGTGGCGGAGGGAGTGGTGTAGACTTGACCCTGATCTTCAAGCGTAGAATTGGCTTGAATCGCCGCCATGGAAAAGTCGCCGGTGGCGTGGGGTTCCAATTCCGCGTCCCAGGAAAGAACATCGCCGCCGCTTTGACGGCGGAAGCAGTCTCTGAGGAAATCGAAAATACAGCTCCACGTCATATCCCTGGCCGCCGCCGGAGACGACAGTGGGGAGGATTGTTAGGTCTACTCTGCTTCTGACAATCTGAGTGGGTGGGTGGGTGGTAGACTGGTAAACGGAGGATGTTTATGGTTCGGGTTGGGTGAGGGATGGCTGAACAGACTTCTTGCGGGAGAGGAGAGAGACCAGAGGAGTTTTAGAGGTAGAGAGAGAGAAGCAAGAACGGCGTGGCCTGTGTTGATGTCACGGCTCCGTGTTTTGCGCGAGATAAAAGTTAGAGCTCTGAAAACCAACAAATTGTGCGTACGATGAAGTGGTTGCGAACTACGTAATGGCTAAGTAAAAATGGATTAATTTTTCTGTACCAACAAAATTGTATCCTAAATTTGTACATGTGTCTGTGCATCTCCATTTTGTCCAAGTGTAAATACAAAATATTGGCATAATTTTTTTAATTACACTAATATTTTGGGCGAGAGTTAACCATCAACATATTAATGAATTACTTTCATGTAACTTTAGAATTTATTCTTTAGTTGTAGCATGATTGAGTAAAAATTCTTCCTTGGGACTTGACCACAATCCAGGTAAAAAAGAGTAATTCTAATTGCGCATGCACACTTCATCCTTAGGTAAACAATATTAAGCATTTAATTCTAATATTTTCACATATTGTCCATCTTTTTATCAACAAGGAGGGGAAGACCCCAAGCTAGTAGCCCCGTGAAGTAGTACTCCGTAATAAGTTATCTAACGATATTATTTTCAAAATTTTTCTACATTCTTAAAAAATAATCTAAAATATAAATATTGATTTAAAATTGGTACTCGTATAATTTAAAAAATAATATGTTTATTGAATACTCCATGCGTCCGGAAAAGAAGTAATCATTTTGACTTTTAGTCATTTTTATTGGGTGTTGACTTTGGGATGAAAATGTCCACAATACCCTTCTGCCCTTCCCTCATCCTTGTTGTCTCAACACTGCGC